TTTTTATTGTCAGAATTATTGTCAGAATTCAGTCAGAATTCTGAGATTAAAGTCAGAATTCTGAGATTAAAGTCAGAATTCTGAGATTAAAGTCAGAATTTAATGTCAGAATTCTGACTTTTTTTCTCAGAATTCTGAGAAAAAAGTCAGAATTCTGACTTTTTCCCCATACTATACTGAAATAAAATAAAAAAAAATCAGTTAACTTTTTTTTTTTCAGTGGCCCTAATCCTCTTCCGTACGAAACAGTTTAAAAACAGCCAGAAAATAAAAAAAAATCTAAAATGTCAAAGAAGAATAAAAACAACTTTGCTCCACCAGGAAAAAAAAGCGCTCAGTGAATAGGTGACGGTAAATGGGCGGTGAAACTCACCCGCGCAGTAAGCCCGTAGTTACGGTGACAGTCCTGCTGCTCGAGGCGAGCGCTCGCGCTGTAGTACTTCTGCTTCACGAGCCAGTCGTCGACCCCCCTTTTAGCCAAACAGGCATTCACAACAAAGCTGTCCCCTGAAACACATCACAAAATACGGGTTATTGACAAATACGCACGTTTTGTTTAAAAATAAAAATACACTCTTCTTAAAAGCTTCCTAAAATCAAAGAGCTGAACTCTTTTTACAAACTGTCAAAAAAAATAGTGAAAGTTCACCATGTAGTGGGGCAGAAATAAAGACTGCTTACCTTCAGGGCTCTCCCTCGGTTTACAAATAGCGGCTTAAGAGAAAGAAATTTTGGAGACAGTGGATGTGTTACTAGAAAGTATCAAAGCGCGGCTGGAGCAATTACTACTGATTTTTCCAGTTGGGAATAAGAAGTCTTACCATGCTTGGAGTGCAGTTTACCCATTTCTATACATCGAGGTGGAGATAAAAAGCATCAAATGAATATAATCCAGAGAAAGTGATATCCAGACAGCGGAGCGTCCGTGGAAGCCGTGCCCTCACTACATGGAGCGCTGGACCGTGTGACCGAGCGCTGAACGAGCCCCTCCAGATCCGGAGCGCTGCTGTCAATAGACACCATGGGCCGAACAACTTCCTGTTGGCTTTTCAAAATAAAATCTGTAAACATTATGGTAACGTGAGGCATTTATGCCAAGCATCAACGCGCTGTTGTTTTCTAGTCATATTGATCTTAGCTGATTAAATTTTATAATATACTTCAAACTAACTCGCTAAATAATAATAAAAAAACGGTTCTGTCAAAATAAAACGAATCTAAAGCGTCTTGATTCCGGATTCAGTTCCGTTTGTTACTAAAACTTTGTGCCGTTGTTTACTCCTTCAGGCTTTGATGAAGCGCTCTTAAATTGTCATTTTAGAGTGAGGGTGCAGCCTACACATCCGGAAAGTGGTGAATGGAAATGCGTGTAAAACCCGCTGATAAGCGTCAGTTCACTCAAAACTCGGGTCATCATGCTATAGGCAGGGGTCACAGTATGGGCCCCCGGTCAGGACGTGAGGTCTGTCACGTTTTGTCTGGACAGAACTGATTAACAGCTGCAGAAAGAGAAAAATGAAGATGCATAAAAGGAAGCTACCCAGAAGAATATGGAGAATTTCTCAATATGTTAAACTTTAATGGCACATTATAGAATACGATCAAAAGAACAAGCAGGGCTGAGTTAGAAGCAAACATTGCAACAGAATCAGTATATTATTGTCTTCAACACTGGAAGGAAAACAGCTTGTGGAAATATACTGTTTGGTTTTACTTTATTAAAAAAATAAATAAATAAATAAATGAAAACAGACAATTATTCTTAAATAATATTATATTACAACAGTTTTTAGAAAAGCAAGGAGTTTTAATAGGCATGAGAAAAAGGGATGACATAAATGAATAATAAGTAACCTAAGGGTACATTAAAAACCTTTAAAAAACAAGTTGTATATTGCTTCTCTTTCATTAAAAGCAATTCTGTTCAGTGACTGTTTGTACTTCTAGAATTAGTACAAATATTGATTTATTTAACCTCTGTCTTAAAGCGTTTACAAATAATAACTCAGGATGCATGAAAAATACACTGGTAAAATGTTTACCAATATAAACTTGTTAGACATTGTTGGATAGCTTAGGTTCTCCACGATTCAATCACCTAGTTCATTTTATGGACACAGCGAGCACCAAAGCACAATTAACACAGATATAGCAGCATGTCGAAATGCAACATGACAAAAGCAGCCACAACAAGCAAGCATGTCTTTATAACTCCTGTTCAAAAAGACTTAAAGAGAATTAAAAAAAAACTTTGAGTCATGTTTGAACTGATGCAGCTTGCTAGTTTTACTTATGTAACACACCTGAAAAAAAAACAGGTAAAGACTTGATCTATTTTTGGTGCACTAACATGTAGTTTAATATGAGATCTAATAAGTAATTCTTAATGTAATTGTAATCCGCCATAACATTTCCAAGCTCCTGCAGGATTACACAGAGGCGATACTTGACATCACTTTTTATGAAGAGAATCAACTGGTAGATCAGGAATTCCCTGAGGACTCCTCGCCGGTTAAGATCCAGCAGCTGCTGCAAGACTTGACTGAGCCAGAAGTTTTAGTGGGCAGACTGACACCTGGACAGGAGGTGCAGTGGTTTGAGAAACAAACTCCTGAGGTACAAACTGTAACATCTGGTATGTTTACAGTTTTGTTTTCTTAAATAAGAGTTCCTGTAAGAATTTGTTCAGTTTGTTCTATGCACTAAATGTTAATACTAATGGTTATGCACTAAAACATTTAGCATTGTGCTGAATCTGTGGAAAAACCTCTCAGGATTTTTGTGAGTTT